CAAAACTGCACTACGAGATAGTATCAACCTATCGTCCTCACAACACCGCTGATGTACTATTGTTTGGTCAATCAGATCTAAGCACTACCTAGTGGATGATGGCGTGCTTGGCGGCACACGGGCGAAGGAGAGCAGCGTATTCCAAGACCGTACGTACACCCTACGGAGCCCCACGTTCATCCCCATCCCCGTACCTCCACTGTCCCCTGCTTCGCCAGCAACGCAAGTGCCAGCTCCGGCGATCACTCATCGGTGTGGGAGGATAGGTAGGTTATCTGCAGGGTCTTCAAGAGAACTGGCCTGGTCCGCGACCATGCAGCACAACTTGAATGTCAGCTCCAGCAAGAGCCGCCTCGTGCGTGGACTGACCAAAAGCGAAAGCTGGCAGCGGGATTCTATCTATAATATAATATAAAAATAAAATGACCAAAGTGTCCTTCACGCCTCAATATACTACACATTTCTGGATGTAGTATTGCCCTATCTCCACTGTTGGATCACAAAAATGAAAGGACCAAAAAAGTTAGATGTAATGTAAAAGGTCTCAAAAAGAATCTCTGTCTTACTAGTACATTTAATTCCAAGGGTTGTACAAATTCTTAGGGACGTACTTTCATTAAAATGTTTTACGTTCCTTATTATACAGTTTAATTAGCATGCTAGTTTTAACATTTTATTATTCTCTCTTCTTGTCCAGATGAATTACGAGGACTTGAATGGAGTATACGATACGAAATAATCAAAGGAATTTGTCATGGTTTGCATTACCTTCACGAGGAAAAAAATATTATTCATATGGACCTCAAACCTGGCAATATAATGATAGATGAAGATATGGTGCCAAAGATAACAGATTTTGGTTTATCAAGACTTGATAAACATACACACACCAGTGGTACCCGTTATATAACACAGTAAGCCCCGCGTTAAGAGAACCTATTGTCTTTTGTGGAATTTACACTTACAAATATCCTGATGATATAATGCATCAATGTGGCATTTTTTTCTTTGTAGAGGATACTGTGCTCCAGAATACGTGAATGGTGGCAAGACATCAAAAAAGGCTGACATGTATAGTTTGGGTGTTATACTCACGGAACTGATAACCGGACTTAAGGGCGATCCAGAAAATGTTAATGTAAGAGCCCTTTGTCTCGTTGTGCAGATATTCCACTTTTCAAACTATGTAAAGTTCTGCATTTCATTTTCTTAACTTTTCATCTGTACTACTTAATTTGCATACATTTGGTTAGATAAAGGACTTATTTTGCATCCCACAATATTGAATTGACATATCACACCTTATTTGAATAATATACTAGTAGCTTGTTGGGGCTAACCCTCATCTTTCTCTTTCTCTTTCTCTCTCTCTCTATCCCCTCTCCCGCTCGAATGGAGATAGAAAAAGTGCTTGACAGAGATTTTACTGGCGACAAACACGGCACGAATGGCCTTTTCTTAAGCTCAAACTCTGGCACCGAACCAATGACCATCGAGCAGTACAGGAGGGATTTTATACCCAGGTGCACACACACTAGCACACGCACAGCACACTTGACGCGTCCACCACACCAGCCACTAACTCAAAGCATCTCCACTCGCCCCCTGCCAACAAGGCTCCCAAGGCCTTTTTTTACCACCGACGCTAAAAATCGGCCTAGTCGCGTCCCCAGAGATCCAAAATTCGCCGGCTAGGGCCGAAATTGGCGCCGGTGGACCCAGGCCGAACCCGCTGCGCTGGGGGGCGCCCGTGGTACCGTGGGAAGCAATTTTCGCGCGAAAGTCCCGGGGGCCCACCGAGTCAGCGACCAGTCGCGTCTCGTCTTCCTCGTCGCCTCGTTTCCCGCGGAGAATCAATGCCAAGGCTTCTGCCGGCCAGCCTTCCGCTAATTCCCCACAGGCGGCGCAGTAATTGCCCGGCGACGCGCTGTCCCACTCCCGCCACGCATACACACACGTCTGCCGCCCCCTCGGCGGCTATAAAAGGCTACCCACTCCTAGCCGGTGAACACACTCTCCTTCGCCCGCAGTCCCTCCCTTCTCGTCGTCGCCCATCCCGTCTCTCTTCCCCGACACAAGTCACCGTGTCCGCTGGGCGAGCGTTTCCCTGGCGACAGTGCGGCCGCCAACGGCTTCGACTGCCGCACCCTGCACAAGTGAGAGGTGCACCTCCTGTTCGAGGCCAACTACCCGGCGTCGCCCGACATGCTTGCGACGGGGCGGTGTAGGCTCAGCACCGGAGGCGTCCCGATCCCCCTGCTTCCCGACGCCGAGCACCACGGCTACTTTCGCGACAAGATCGAGCACATCCGGGCCTCCCTGCCAGAGGAGGTGGGCGGACGCTGCACTTCGTCCTCGAGCACCTCGAGGGCGGCAACCAACCGCCGCTCTAGTACCTGGCGGCCCCAGCTCCTGTCGCCCGCCGGAGTGGCGGCGGCATTTGGCTGCCGCGGCACATGGCAGGGGTTTCGTCCTCATTATCCTCCTCCCGCACCCACTCGTCCGGGTTGCTAGTGCTCGCCAGCATCAAGGCCAAGCCCGTCGAGCGCGGCGCCGCCCTCGTTACCCGCCTCGTCAAGCCCAAGACAGAGCACGTCCACATGCACCGGAGCAACCAACTCGTGCATGCCTCTAAACACTAGTCTAATGAAGATTACTACTAAAAAATTCCCTCCTAATCTTAACTCGGCTAGTCATCAAAATCGCCGCCGGACGCCATGGCGTGCGTCTACGAGGCACTGCGCCATCACGGTGGCCGCTCCACGGCCACCACGCTGTGCCGCCACGCAGCTCCTGCAAGCCGTCACACAGCCTCGCCTCTACATGGCCGTGTAGTGCCTCCACGTTGCTGCGCCGTGCCACGCCTTCGCGGCCTCTGCGCCACCATGCAAGTCCTCCACGGCCTCCTTGCCATGCCGCCGCTGTCTCCACGCCACCATGCAGCACCTCTGCAACCTTCTCGCTCGTCGCATGCACGCCGCCCCCGCACCGCGGACTCATCGTGGGCCACATTCTCGAATCATGAGGCTCTATATACCAATAGTTAGGGCTAACCCTGGTCTAGCACGAGCGCGCTCTCTCTCTCTCTCTCAAAAACATATTTAAACATCCCACGCTCCAATGAACCGCCATGCACAAGTTTTTTTAACATCAGTCACAAACGCTCATACATATGCGCATACACTCATCCATGAATACACACGCACACCCTACCCCTATGAATACCTTCGAGAGACTGAGCCGGCATATTATCTTGAAATTTACGAAGTCACCGTAGGCGCCTTGTCATCGATGAGAACGTCTCCTCCCACTGAAAGCACATCGCCGAAAATCCTGTAATAAATCCAGGAATAATTTGAGCACCTGGACTTGAACCCTGGTGTGCTAGGGACGCCACTGTCCCTCTAAGCATCCAACCACAGGTTGGTTCGCATAATTTTTTTTTGTGAAGCAGACTTTGGGGTGATGAACTAACACACACTGCCCTAATAACATCATCTGATTACCGTGTGTAAATAACATAAAAAGTGTCATTTGTGAAATGTAGGTGCTGCGAAGGTGGATGCACAGGTGGAATAAATCACCAAAACATACAGTACTGTCCCAGTACCAGCAAGTAACTAAATGCATGAAAATTGCATCATGCTGCAGGAAAAAGGAACCATCAGATAGACCTTTTATATTGGATATAATTGGCATTCTCAATGAATCTGAAGAAATCACGAATGAGCACATTGACAAGGTAATCTAGATTGTACCATTCACTTAAATAAATACATTGTTTAAGACACATGCATCATTTAAGACTAGCCTTAGTGGAGAGTAACTTACACTAGTAACATACACACTACCTTAGGCTATGTTACTATCTTCATAGTGGGTAATAACATAAGTGTGGTGTCATGCAAACCTTCATTTATTAGTTTATAGACTCATATTATATTAGGATATGTGATGCTACGGTAACTAGCTAAGTTACTCAAACCATCTCTCTCCTTATTAACTCATAGTGAGAGTAACTTCAGCAGTAATATCGAGTTCAACTCAGCAAACTTGCTTATGTGGCAATGAGTTAATGATGAGAGAGATAAATTGAGTAACTTAGCTAGTTACTGCAACATCACATGTGTCAATGCAATATGAGTCTATAACCTAATAAATGAAGCTTTGCATGACACCACACTTATGTTACTACCCACTATGAAGATAGTAACATAGTCTAGGGATATGTGTATGTTAGTAGTGTATGTTACTCTCCATTCTGACTAGTCTGACTAGTCTAATGTGAGCAGAGAGACACATGCATCATTTAAAGTGATAGAGTTTTGAATTCCAATCATTTTTCTGCAATTGGTATACCGCTTGATGGGGGTCGTCCCCGGCATCTAGGGTGTCTTGAAAGATCTGACGGTTAGAGTTCTCCTCTGAATTTGGCTATATGCATGTGAACCATGAGCCCTCGTCCATTACCCATTTCTGTCCATTCAATGAAACTAACATCATCCTCCTAGGATCTAACCTTGTGCATTCAGTCAGTTGAGTGAGTGAGAATATAGAGCACCGATGCATCATCAAAATATACCAACCATCACAAAACATGTACAATACAACTTACAATTTTTTTCTCCGGAGGGAGTAATACAACATATCTAGCTTTTCTCTCCCAGATAAGCCTTTACTCGGATGACATGCTTGGAATTAAGCCGCTCGAACTACGGTTTCTCTTTGAGCGTCAGAAACAGATATCATCCGTAGTTAAGCTAATCAACAAGACAAAGGATTACTACGCCTTCAACATCGAAACACCAAGCCAACAGTACTGTGCACAACCAAACAAAGGCATTGTGTGTCCACAATCCAAGTGTACTATCCAGATAACAATGCAAATGCATGAGACTACACCACAAGATATGCCGTACACCGACGATTTTATCGTGCAAAGCACAAAAGTCGACGGGGACCTTAGAGCAGGGGATATCACTGATGTCTTGTTCAACAAAGAGCCGGGTAAAGTGGATGAGGTAATTTTGACAGTTGTGGTATATCTGCCTGAGAAATCTAAGGGAGATCTCAAGAGTCGAGAAGACACCAAGGTGACCGGTTTGACCGTCGTTGTATATATATGCATCCTCTCTCATTTTCTCCCTATTTCCTTTCTGATAGAATGTGTGTGTTACTAGAAAAAACGGAATATGGTTGAATATGCTTTTAGCAAGGACAAACCTGGCGTCGGCGCAACTATGCAATCAGAGGTAGTTTCCATGGCGAGCCTTGTCAAATAATTCAACAAGCATCATTGCTTAAAAAGGTTTATTTAATCTAAATAATTTATTATTCTGCATGCAAGGACATTAATTCTATTGGTTACAAAGATGTGCGAGGACAATGTACTGGGCAACCTGAGCACCATAGCTTCCATGCAGCTCCAAGCATGCAAACCAAGATGAGCAACAGAGTTGTGGATCTTGCAACAGGGGCCATGGGCAGCCTTCTCTACAAGCTTGGCGACCTCCTCAAGGAAGAGTACAATCTAGAGATTGGTGCGAAGACAGACATAGAGTATTTCTCAGATGAGCTTTTGGAGATGCAGTTAGCGCTCTGCAAGGTGTCCGAGGTACAACGAGACAACCTCAATGACCAGGTCATACACTGGGCCAACAATGTTAGGGATATGTCATATGACATTGAGGATGTGGTTGATGGCTTTTTGGTACACATCGAGCATGCCTCTAATACAGGCTTCTTCATGGGGCTCATGCAGAACATGTTCAATCTCTTCAAGTGGGGAAAGACTCACAATCCGATCCGTGACACGATCAAAGACATAAAGAAACAAGTTAAAGATGCGGCTGATAGGCGTAGAAAGTGCAAGGTTGATGAAGTCGTGGCTAATGTAGCTGTCGTGACTACAATTGACCCTCGCATTTCAGCTATATACAAAGATCAGAAAGAGCTCGTTGGAATTAAAGAGCCAAGAAATGAGCTAATCAAGTGGCTCTCTGATAAGGAGGGGGGTGGAGATGTGTCTAAGAAGCAACTCAAGATAGTCTCTATTGTTGGATTCGGAGGATTGGGCAAGACAACACTTGCCAAGGCAGTGTATGACAAGCTTCAATCCCAGTTCTATCCTATGGTTTTTGTTCCAGTGGGTAGGAATCCTAATGTGAAAAAAGTTTTTGAGGCAATTCTCCATGAGCTTGGCTATGGTTTCAATGCACTAAACTTAAATGAAATGCAGCTCATCAACAAAATTCGAGAATTGCTCCAGAACAAGAGGTATGCACCATCAATCTCTGTTGCAGTACAGTCATTAATGATGTAAATACATCAACCTAAAGAATCTAGTGTGATATTTTCTTGGTGACTTGTCTGTCATTACTTTGTTCTACTTTGCGAGGATATATCATCGAAGTCTTTTGGTATTAACCCAATCCAATGGCCAATATACTCAAGGCACCATAAGCCAGTGGCGGCATGATGTTAATATTGAAATGCATGAAGGTTTAAAATGCCATTTTGAGTCACAAAATATTAACTTACATGAAAAAATATCTATTGGGTTAATTGGGATTTTCTCAATTATTTTGTTCTTGCCATAGATATGATTCAATAAAATGCATGGGAACATTAAAATTTACATTATACTCCCTCAGTTCCTTTATGTAAAGTGTATTAGTTTTTCCTAAAAATTTCACAATGTAGGGTGTATTTCTTTTTTCCTCTCAGTTTTTCTTGTGTGCCATTCCACCATCCATTGCATGCCTTAGATGAAAAATAGTACGTAGTCCCCAATTGGAAGGTGGTAAAGAAAGAATCTCTCTCCCTGATTGCATGCACTCACATTTCTCTCTCTCCCATCCCACCGACTGATTTTATTCTGGTGCAGCGAGATTCGGTTGCCTTTGTTAGGTCGCTGGTTATTTAGCTGGCACTAATTAAGCTGCTAACTACTCCCTCCGTTCCAAAATAGATGACCCAACTTTGTACTAATTTTGTACTAAAGCTAGTACAAAGTTGGGTTATCTATTTTGGAACAGAGGGAGTACCTAATTAGTTAAGGGTATTTTCATCCAAAATTCTCCTAAATTGCATGCCTTGCTCACCGCGCCCAAAAAATACACTCTACATAAAGGAACGAAGGGAGTATAATTTATTTGTTTTCCATATAATACGAACTTATGAAAACTTTTAGGATTTTCCTAGTTGATATGGTATTTCTTCCACGCCTAGGGATTGAAGAGGTGAGGGAGTAGTAGCCTATATAAAAAGTACAACTTCACCAATAGTTTGCCTTGTCCGTTGGATGGAAATCATCAAGAGCTCAGAATTAGAGAGTCATTCCTATCTTGTCCGTTGGACAATGTGCATAACTGGTATGGATTAACTAACCCTCCCATTGTTGCACAATAGTGGTAGGGATAAGCAGTACAAATATAGATACAAAAGACTGAAGCGTGGGGCGAGGTGCGCATATAGATTCTAGCGGGATACGCACGAGATTAGGATTTTCCAAAAACTTAAATGTTTTCTATGGTCGACCAAGTTTTTAAAACATTTTGTCAGCAAATACAATACCAAATAAATATAATATGAATGTATGGCATAGTAAATATAATGATACTTATTTGGTGTTGTAGTTATTGATATTTGCCGTCTAAACTTGGTGAAACATAGAGAATTTTAACTTTAAAATAAAATTAATACACCTTATATTTGGAACAAAGAGAGTACAAAAAACTTTGAAATGTGGGTGTGTAGCGCCATGTATACACGTGAGTGCACACCATTTTGTAGGCTTCAACGTACATTTTTAATTGGTGCTAAAAGACATACATTTTATGGCTATGCTTTTGTTTAATATATTTGATATTATTTTAGGTACTTCATAGTAATTGATGATATATGGGATTCCTCAGCGTGGGATATTATTAAATGTGCTTTGACAAATGACAATTGTGGCAGTGGAGTGTTGACAACTACCAGGATTCGCTCTGTTGCTGATGACTGTTGCATACATAGCAGAGGATATGTTTATATGATGAAACCACTAAATAACCAAGACTCAAGAAAACTTTTTGTTAGTAGAATATTTGGTACCCAAGAAGCTTGCCCTAATGTACCAGCAGAGATTTCAACTGACATTCTGAAAAAATGTGGTGGCTTGCCACTTGCTATCATCAGCATAGCAAGCCTTCTGGCTCATAACCCAAGGTCAAGATGGGATTCTATAAGGAATTCTTTGGTGTCTGTGTTTGCAGGAAATCATGATGATCTTAAAGATATGGAACAAATATTGGATCTTAGCTACATGCATCTCCCTCACCATCTTAAGACATGCCTGCTTGATATTGGTAAGTACCGAGAGGACCAGGAGATAGAAAAGGATTATTTGCTGAGGCAATGGATAGCTCAAGAGTTTGTGAGCACAACTAGTGTGCGTGATGCCGAGGATGTCGCAGAAGACTACTTCTATAAGCTCATCAACATGAGCATGATCCAACCTTGGAAGATAGACTACAATGATGAGGTGTTGTCCTGCAAAGTACATGATATAATGCTTGATCTCATCAGATCCAAGGTCGCAGAAGAAAATTTTAGTCTTATAATAGATGGGCCCGAAGTTGTGATAAGGGAACACAAAAGGGTCCGCCGAGTCTCCATTTATTACAATGGTGAAGATGATGGTGAAATACTAGAAGCAATCAGTGGGCCACTATCGCATGTTCGGTCGATCTTACTTTTTAGAGGGCCTCTTGTGCCTTCTTTTCTGGTGCTGAAGTATGTTCGAGTTCTTCACCTTGAAGATGAGAGATGTGAGAGGCTAGACCTCACCGGTATTTGTGGGTTGTTTCTACTAAGGTATTTAAAGATTTTTTGCTGCAGGATACATTTGATACTACCTAGTAAAATTGGGGAGCTACGGCAATTGGAGACAGTAGAAGTGGAAGGGCAATATAAACCGACATCTCTTCCATCAGATATTGTTACTTTGCCCCGGTTGTCGCATCTCAGTTATTCAAATGGTCTGGTGTTGCCTGACGGGATTGGCAAGTTGAAATCTCTGCGCACCCTACGAGGTGCTGCATTTTTGGAAAGCTCGGTGGACAATATTAAGGGCCTCGGCGAGCTGACAAACTTGAGGGAACTTGAGATGTTTTCGGAATTGCGGTTTTATAATGAAGAGGATGAATTGGAGTGGAAGATGCATATTGATGCCTTGCGCTCTTCCATTGGAAAGCTTTCCAACACCCTCAGGAGCCTTTATATCGGAGAAAGATGCCCCATAGTACCGCTGGTCCATGGCTGGAGCAGCACACTAACCCCACCTCGTCGTCTTCGGAAGCTTGATCTGACTGGCTGTGAGTTCCAAGGAATCCCCGAGTGGATTGCTCAGCTCCACGAGCTCTACAGTTTAACTATTTTCGTGAGGGAAGTGGCTGATTTTGTCAGTATTGTTGCAGGGTTGCGTTCCCTTGCGCACTTAGAATTGCGGGGACTCATGTATGGACTGTCTAAAAGGGAAAAGTGGGTAATCATCAATGCCAGGGCATTCGGAGCGCTCAAGCATCTGGAGTTGTACTGTCCTTATGTGTCACTGGTCTTTGAAGCGGGAGCTATGCCCAACCTAGAGAAGCTCGGCATATGCTTTCGTTTCTTCATATCTGCTGAATTGTTACCAGTTGGCATCGAGCACTTGCCAGCAGGCACTCTGCGGGATATCCATTTAACGTTGGCGTCCAACGGTAATGAGGTAGTGGCCTCCCAGTTCGAACAACATAAAGCAGCTGTCGGTATGCTGTTGAAGAGCGCGTTTGAGGCGCATCATCCTGCTGCAGATGTCACCATTGACTTTGATAACGTCCTCAAGAGATTGATGCAGTCGCTGTAACTCGTGTTTTAAGGAGGTATTGCCGCCTACTTCAAATGTGCTTTCCTTTTAATGATCTTCTATTAGCACCTGTTGTGTTGTATGGCTAAGATCTTAATCCTGTAGCAGTTGCTGCGACGCTGTATTACTGTCAGACAAACCATTTTCAGTCAATAGTGACGTTCTTCCTGGTGGTTTCTTCCATCAACAGCCCTTATTCCATAAATTACTACTTATTTTTGTATTGTTTGCGACCTTTTGCAATTTACTAGCAAACATACCCGTTCATTGCAATTGGAGAAGAAAAAATATCTTCAGAAACATGTGGTTAGCCACGGAGAAAAAGCAGAGTTTGTCGTAAATCAAATTATAATTATACTATTTAATAAATGAAGTATAGTATTGTTTATCACCTAAGAATTAAACTAATTAGGGCATCTCCTACACCGACCCGCAAACCGGATACCGCTTTCGTATGTGGACCTGGGGACCAGTCTGCAGACACTGATGCGGGAGCCGGCCATGCAACCGTGGCCGCATACATTTCAGACACTATTTGAACTAACCGGATGAGATTTAATTATACAGGGCGGAATTCATTCAAGTTTGGTCATAATTTACATAAATGACCGTTATTTCAGCCGTTCTACTCAAAACTAAAGCTTGTACCGGACTACCACCTCGTACGCGTGGCCTCCTTGCCCGGACGCACCGCGATCGCTGTACGTGTCGTTGTCGTCGTTCCTCCAGTGGCCGTATGGCGTCGGTTTGCCACGACAGCCTTGTCCGGCTGCTGGCTGCCACTCGCGGAAGAACTGCTCCTCTTCCTCCTACACGGTACGGATGGCCGCACCGACCAATGCCGACGGCGCCCGCAGAGCCCTGCCGGTGGACTTTTCCCTGCCGGCATTGGTAGAGGAATCACTAAGCGACCACTCCTCTCCGATCTTGGAGAGATCGCCGACAATGTGGCAGTGCCTGGTGGCCATGTCCACGGCGGTGAAAAAGTGGTCCAGGGCCAAGGCAGTGGAGAGGTCTGGGTCGTTGTGGACCTATTCTCGCGCCGTGTCCGACTTGGCGAATGCAGACCGACGGGCAGCATTGTGCCGCTCATAGTGTGCCTATTGCCTCCCTGCTCCAGTGCACCATTGACACGATGACCCCTGAACCTGAGGGACCGCCGCCAACGCCGCCTATGAGGTCATGGAGGATGCAACCTCGCGCTTTTTTCATCGGGGTGGCAGCTCCTCCTTAGGGCATCTTTAATGGTTGTAAGATAGTTGTTGGTAGATTTAGCCACATAAGATTTTTGATTATGTGTTATACAATAAATGAGGAAATAGAGGAAGGTCGTATGTACATGAACCAACACCTCTTGCACAAACTCCAATGTTAGAGCATCTCCAGCCGCGCCCCCAACAAGGCCCCCCAGGCGACTTTTCGGCCGCCGGCGCCAAAAAATTGGCCCAGTCGCGCTCCCAGGGGGCCATTTTTCGCCGGCTCGGGCTGAAATTGGCGCCGGCGGACCCAACCCGAAATCGGCGCGCTGGGGGGGGGGGGTCGGGGGCGCCGGGCGAATTGTTTTTGGCGCGAAAGCGCCGCGGGCCAGCCGCTTCTGATGAAGGTTCAGCTCGCTCATCAGCCCGATCAGTTGTGTTGGAAGCTTACTAGGTCTGGAGAATTCACTGTCAAGTCGATGTATATTGATGTCATCAACTCTAGTGTTATTCCTAGCTCCAAACATGTTTGGAAAGTTAAGGTTCCTTTGAAAATCAAAGTGTTTATGTGGTTTGTACATAAACAAGTCATCTTAACAAAAGATAATTTGGTTAAGCGCAACTGGACAGGATCTACTAAGTGTATTTTCTATGATCGGGACGAAACTATCAAGCACCTTTTCTTTGATTGCCCGTTGGCGACAGTGTTGTGGCGCACGGTGCAAATTGCCTTTAACATTACTCCTCCGAATTCGGTCAGTTCGTTATTTGGAACGTGGCTTGTTGGATAAAGTCTGAAACAACTAGACAAATTCGTGTAGGAGCATGTGCGTTGTTATGGGCAATTTGGAACTGCAGAAATGATTTGGCTTTTAACTGAACAACAACTATTCATTTTTTACAGGTTTTATTCCGAGCTACTGCACTGATCTGTATGTGGTCCTTACTCACTCCGACGGAGGCCAGGGAGCGTTTGGTTACTGGATCTGTACGGTGGGAGATGGTAGCGCGGGATATCTTCAACTGGTTTGGATGGCGGTCATGTAATAGGATAGACGATTAGTTTACCTATCTTTCTTATGCCAGCCGGTTGTGGCTTTTGGGTCTTTTGTTTTTCGCATTGTGGCTCTTTGTGAGCTAGCCATTTATTTGTTTTCAGACTTTAAGACCTTGTTAAACTACTTTATTTTTATATATTTGTGGCCGTATGCATCGTTCTGATGCAAAGGCCGGGGAGTCCCCCCTTTTCTAAAAAAATGTGTGTTATTTAACAGAAATCTATTGAAACATACTCATTGTAAACATATAAAATGACAACCTAGGACTCATCAAGGTTATGTCCCTAGCCTTACTTATACATGATTTTACTACGTAAATATTTATGGGTTCGAATATAGCAATTGTAAAACATGAAGAGAAAAATGGGAAAAGAGAAGCAAAAGAGATAAAACAGACAACTCCAAATGCAGTTTTCTGAACTTATTCTTCTTTTAGAATAAGAAATAGGCAATAAGAATAAATCATCTTGAGAGTAGAATATAGCTGAAAAGGAAACATACTGGAAGTTCCTCCATAAATGAAAGCACTTGAGTAAAATTGAAGAAGGTATAAAAGACCCTCCTGAACAACTGCCGATCATTTCCACAACCTTCCCATCTAAGTCAATAACAGGACCTCCTAGATCATACTACAACATTTGAATTGATAATATTATAAACACATTCAAATAAAGCATTAAAAATACAACAGATACAACTCGAGTGGAGTATATATGTTTACCATACAATCTCGTTGTGGACCTTGAATGTACATGTGGTGATACCGCTCATCCCTGGATGGATTTGAATATTCCACTCTACCGTGATTTATGAGTAGATTGAAACTGTCATCTCTTCCAAGATCAAAAATGTCTTGAGCACTTTTCACTTTATCACTAAAAGAGGGTAACTGAACAGATGAATCCACTCTCACCCTGAAGAAAGCAAGATTATAGTGCTTCTGGTAGTAGATCAGGTGTCCCTCTGCCATGATGTAACCCTTGTAACCCCGCAAGTCAACATGAACCTAAAAAGACATTTGTAAGAGAATGGTTACTAAAGAGACCATCTGCACACCGTAACAATCCTTTGGACAAGACATGTAAAAAACGTTGATAGACAAGTAAACATAATCCATGTAAACTGCAACTAGCTAGTTATTTGAGATAACTTGAGATGAAACAAAGTCAAGTTAGACTAGAAGCAAAGTCAACCAGAACACTGGCGAGGCAGATGAATAGGAAATGCATTTGCCTATCAGCTGACCTTAGGGCATCTCCAGCCGCGCCCCCAGGAAGGCCTCCCCAGGCGTTTTTTTCGCGCCGGCGCCGAAAAAACGGTCCAGTCGCGCCCCCAGGAGCCCTATTTTCGCCGGCTTGGGCCGAAAACAGCGCCAGCGGACCCAGCCCGAACCCGGCGCACTGGGGGGCGCCGGGGCGAGCTGTTTTGGCGCGAAAAAGACGTGGGCCAGCTGCGTCAGCGACTCGGCGCCTCGTCTTCCCCCAACGGCCTCGGTTTCCCGCGGGAAATCAATGGCAAGGCTGCCGCCGGTCAGCCTTGCCATAGATTCCTCACGGGCGGCGCTTCACGGGGCGGCGCGCCGACACCTCCCTTCCCGCGCACGCGTACACACGGGCGCGGCCCGGCTATAAAAGCCAGCGGCCTCCACTCGCCTGTGCCCAGACCAGTCCCCCCTCGCCGCCGTCCAACCCCTCCTTCTCCCTGCCTCTCCCGAGCGCCGCCCTTCGGCCCCTCCCTCTACCTCTACCTCTCCCGAGCCCGCCCCGCCCCGCCGTTGCCATGGCAGAACGCTTCCCCGGAGACGAGGCGGCGGCCAACGGCTTCGGCCGCCGTTCGCTCCGCGAACAGGAGTCCTGGCTCCTGTTCCAGGCGAACATCCCGGCGCCGCCGGACATGCGCGCCGGGCCATCGGGGTGGAGGCTCAGCGCCGGGGGAGTACCCATTCCCCCGTTGCCCAAAGCCGTGGCGAAGCCGAAGTACTTCGCCGAGGAGGTCGAGATCGTGCGCGCGTCCCTCACCGATGCCCAACTCTCCCTCCCCCAGTACGCCGCCGACAACCACGCGGCCTGGGCGGCGTATTTTGAGCGCCGCCAGCAGCAGCGATTGGCATCCACCAACGGCGCGCCGGTGGTCGGCGGCCGGCAGAACAGCAAGGGGCGCCACCTCTGGTGGGGCATCCCCGGCCGCACACTCGAGGGCGTTCTCACGTACCTCGAGGGCGGCAACGACCCGCCGTAGGCGTACCCCCCGACGCAGCACCGACGCGTCGGGCCATGGGCGCCAAGGAGGTTCGGCTCCTCTTCCTCCTCTTCTTCCTCCCGATCCTCGTCGCACTCCTTCGGCACTCCGGCCCTGCTCGACGTCAAGGCCGAGCCCGCGGCGGAGTCGCCGCTCGACCGGCGCACTCGCAGCGCCGGCATCGTCATCAACGAGGGCGGCCGGCGCGCCTCGTCCTCGTCGGCTCCTCCGCGCTTCGTCAAGTCAAAGACGGAGCCGGGGCTGGCGCCGGTGAAGACGGAGCCGGGGCTTGCGCCGGTGAAGGCGGAGTTCGACGACGACGACGCGGCCCTAGAATGGGCGCACCAGGACTCCATTGCGATGGAGAAGGCGCGCGGGGAGAAGGTGAAGGAGCGCGAGCGCGCCGCCCTGCGCTGCTTCGAAGAGCGCCGACGCGGCCGCGATGAAGACGGGGTCGTCGTCCTACGCGACAGCAGCGACGACGACGAAGACGCGCCGCCCCCAGTCC